CAATGTGCGTTGCAGATAATTTGCAGCTGCCCCTTCGCACTTAATGTTTAATCCAGTGCCAAAATTAGTTATTTGAAAGACCATAGTCATTTAGATACGCATGGGGGGAGAGGCATTTATAAGTGTATTGTATGAGTAAATTATATGTAATTATTAGTAGATGAGCGCTAAAAGTACCGTTTAATATGATTGCAGGAACTCGGCCCAGAAATGTTCTTGACATATGACCAAGAGAAGTCTATGGAGTCATTTTACCCAAAAGAATAGGTGAGTTGACATGACAGTAACCGCCAACGCTGGTCCAATTTGTCTCTGTACAAACACTATGAGGAGCTTCCTTTCGTGTGCATCAAAGGGTGGTATTTGATGTTCTTTGCGGTGCCTTGGTTCTTTGTTGTCGATTTCAATCCTCCTGTGTCAAAATCCAGGCTGATTTGTTATCACTGAAAATGTCCGTAAAAATCTTGGCAATTTGGAAAATTGCTGGTATCGGTTTTGGATTGGTAGGGCAGACTCCCTTTTCACATGCTCTGTCTAAATATCATGGTGCCGACCTTGGGGTATGGCTTTATGGAGTGGCTACTTGCTCGCCGGCCGCCCCCTACAGCAGAGTTCTTAGCCAGAGCGCCTTAGGTAGCCTCCCCGCCCTTAGTTAGAGAGACCAGCTCTTATAAAACTCAAGTTTCTGTGGACAGGGCTGGTTTCTGACAAAAACAAAGGTAGTTTTGTGGTGCCTGGTTCACTCCTGTCAACTCGAATACTACTCCATCGAAATCCGGACCCATCGATTTATAGCCTTTGTAAATTTTGCCATAAATGAAAAAAATTGAAAATCGCTGGAAATGGTCGAAATGTCGAAATTTTGCGCCGCCGGTCCATTTCAAGTGAGTTGCGCCTGTTTTTCTTGGACTGGTTCGCCTGCGAGGTAGGCAGCTCGTCGTACGCTACCCGCCAGATTCAAAAGACCTCCTCTTAAAACTCAAGTGTGTCTGGACAGGGGTGGTTTCTGGCGGAAACAAAAGTAGTTTTGTGGTTCCCTGGTTCACCCCTGTCGGTTCGACTACTTTTCCGTCGAAATCCGGCCCCACCCCTTTTTGCTAAAAATAGGAAAGGCTATAGCCTTTGTAAATTTGGCCAAAAATGAAAAAAATAAAAATTGCTGGAAATGATTGGAATTGGTCTAGCAGAGTCGCCTTTGACCTCCTCTGTCGAAATTGCGTGCTTCCTGCCTCTTTTCCATCCTGTTTCTTCAACTATAAAATTGCGTCTTTGGTTTGTCGCAGGAAGATTGGCCTGGAGGTGACCTGACTTGGACATAAGCAAAGCAGCCTATGTGTCACCTGCAGTATGCTGAGTTGGCGTCGCAGCACACAGCAGGAGGAATCGCTCCTTTTTCTCATGATCGCAGGAATGAATCTGGTAAGTTTTGACTTTCAATGTGATGTTAACTTAAAATACCAGTACTTTTATGGTAGTCATGTCTGGTAAAAGTTTATTTTGGTATTGTTTCTATTTGGGGGTTACTTGTCATTTCTTTACTGCTTATTCTAATTCCATATGTACGGCTTATTACTTGAGCCTAAAATATATAGCTGTGTTCTAATTTTAGTGTGGAACTGGAGGCAAATCATTAGAAATCTTTGACAGTAATGCTGCTATTTATTTCATTTGTATGGTACAGTTGTAGTAAAATAGGAAGTGATG